GCTTCTTAATAAAAAAGATATGAAGGCATTGTACTAATGTAAACAAAAAGTGAAGACTTTATTGAGTAGTTACAAAGTTATAGTTGGATATTTTCTTAAGAGCTTTATGAATTACCCAAATAATAAAAATTAAATTACTAGTTTTTTTTTTTTAATGCTTCTGTTGTGTATGATAAGTCTCAATGTCAACCAAAAAGTGAATGGATCATTGTGGGGGACTGGAGAGTTAGAGAAAAGTTGGGAAAAAACTGGGAGCCAGCATTAGCAGAGCTGTGACCTTTCAATTAATGGAACAAAATAGGGAAAGGAGGTGACCCTTCTGCTTATCCCCAGCTCAGAGCGGAGGAGGTGGGGCAGAAAGGGACTGCAGAACTTCATTAGGCCAGCTTTGAGGTGGAGGAGGGGGCACACTGATTACAGAGCCTGGAAGGGCTTCCCTCTCTTGTTAGAGCACAATTTTGCACTGGTCTTTTATTTTCAGTGCAGCTCGCTCCCTGGTGGTTTAATTTACAGTAAACGAAATCACGTCTGTTGAAGATCACTTTTAAGAGGGTGCTTGTTGGGGGTTGTGAAAACAGAGGTCTTATACCGACCAAAAATATCTCGCCTCTTTATGAATTCAGGAAGGCTTGTTTTAGAACTCCAGGTAGGTGCATAGATATGCAGATGCACCTATTCATGTTTGATTTCTATATGGTCTGTAAGTTTCCCGCCTAAAACTGACTTCCTCCTCCACGCATTACCTACCATAGAGCATCTAATAGGTCTGCCCTAATCAGGGCTGAACAGCTCATCCTTACCGCCGGCTGGGGAGCTCTGTTGCTTCTGCCAGCAGCTGGAGAAACGCTGAAGGGGAGCAGGCAGCGAAAGAGTAAAGAAAACGCTCTCTTGGCTGCCCGTCTCCTCCGCCAAGGCCCTCCCATTCATCCTAGGTGCCCGCCCCCAAACACTGTAGAAAGTTGGCTCCGAGTCAGAGCCCAGGGACCGGGGTCTAGGGAGACTGATTCCAGGAGGCGGAGCAGCGGGTCGCACAGCCCCGAATGCCTCCCGCGGCCGCCGCAGCAGCTGTCGCCTCCTCGCCTCGCCGCCCGGAGTATCAGGAGTATCAGGAGCCTCCCGGGTGGCCAGAGCCCAGGGCTCCCAGCCGCGGCGCTAACTGCCCCCGCTCTGAAGTCGTCGCGTCCCCAACACTCTGTCCTCCTCCCAGACAGCCCATCGCTTCCTTCGTCCTCTCCCCGCCACTGCAGAGGGGGCCAGTGCTCTGGCGCTTCCAAGGACTCCCCGCCACTCTCCTGGCACAGGGTGCTGCTGCTGAATTCCTGGCGCCGCACCCCACAGCCCCGTCTGGGGATTACCCGGCCCAGAAGATGGGGACCCGCGCCTGAGCATCCCAGGGGCGTGCACTAGGTGCGAAGCAGGGGGCGGGGGGCGGAGTCCTCATTTCCTGGTGGACCCAGACCCAGGAAGTTGTCTTTAGTGTGTGTGTGTGTGTGTGTGTGTGTGTGTGTGTGTGTGTATACACACACACATAGACACATACATCTGGCCCGCGATTGAGCAGCCACCTCCTCAGAGCAGCATGTGGACTGGCTCGCCGGGTCCCCTAGGTGTTGTGTGGCTACCACTGCCGCCACCGACGCCTCAGTCTCAGCGGCCGCTGCTGGCAGCAGAAACCCAACGCCGCGTGAGGAGCAGGAAGGCGCGGGCGTTGCGTCCCAAGCTTGCTGCTGGCCAATTCTTTTCCTCGGGAGGTGGCAGTCACTGCTGCTGGTGAGAAACCAGCCCACATTCCCGCGCTGGTCTTCTGGAGAGGAGTTGGACCCACATGGCTTGTTACCTGGTCATCAGTTCCAGACATCTCAGCAATGGGCACTACCGGGGCATTAAAGGAGTCTTCAGAGGGCCCCTCTGCAAGAATGGATCCCCCTCACCGGTAATATACGCGCGTGTACACACACACACACACACACACACACACACACACACTACACACGTTAAAATCAACATCAAGTAAAAAAAGATATTGAGAGATACTGTCCTGATACAACGAGTGGGTGAGGAATTTCTGTGACAGGAGCCTTGCCTACAGGTACACTATGTCTGTTTATACAATTTATTGACAAATACACAGAGAGGAGCGTGTGTTTACTTGCGTGTTTCGAACCCTCATTAGGATCTGTAGTGCTATGGATGCAAATATTTACTGAATGCAGTTAACTGCAAGGCTGTGAAGGTGCTGTCAACTTAGGAATCTGTGGATTTGGGAAGTGTAGAAAGTTTGAGTGGCACTTTATAATGTGCATTTGTGAAGTCGTTAGTTGAAATTAATAATGATGCTGCTACTTTATAAGATAATAAACTCTTTAAAGATATTGCTTCAGCTCATTGGCAAAAGAAAAGGTGTTGGTTGTTAAAACTTGATTAAATCTAATGTTTATGTAAGTTCTTTAAGGGGGAAGCAAAAGAGTTCCTTTGTGGGAATCCAAATCGGATTTTGTTTGTTATATTATATATAAATATATCAACATTCAATTTAACTGACTTCTTTTTAGCTTAGTAAACTATCCAATCTATTTACTGTACGATTTATTCAACTACTTTTTATAAAACATTTGCATCAGAATCTAAGACTTAAATGTATTCTCAATTCATCCTTGATACTATAAACTACTATTTAAAGGATTCAGATGTGTTTCAAGAAAAAAAGTTTTGGACTATGAATAAGTAAGTATCCAAACTTAATGAGTAACTTTGAGCCTAATGAAAAGGAAAAAAATAATATTTTAGTCTGTATGATATAAAGAGAAAAAGCTTAATTTGCCTATTTGCCTGATTTTTATTATGTTTGGTACTTTCCATGGCAATTTAATGCTCATTGGTATGAACTATTCAAAACTGCATTATATTATAAAAATATTTCATTAAGCTCTCTGTAAGATTTGTGTGAGAAGTTTAAAAACAAAAGGTATAAGTACTCAAAGATATCACTAGGATTCCTTATGACAAACTCATTGCTTTTATGTTCTGTAAAAAGTGTTTCTTGCACTCCTCCCCTATTCTAAATGGTACTGAGTCAGAAGTGTTTCATGGAAAATATTGTTTATATTAGCACTTACAATTAAAATCACAGGGTTAGAAGGGACTTGGGAAGTTCTATCTGAATAAGGCCTATATCCAATCCTTCTGAGCAGCAAGCAGATCTGTTATCTTTCCTGTTTTTACAGATTCCCCAAATTGGAGTTTCTGCAGTTTCGGCAAACCACTTCAATGTTTAAGAACCCACAGTGTCAGGAGAATCTTCCTTATAGCAGACTTAAATCCTTCAAATTCCTGCTTAAGCTCATTTTGTCTTGTAAATCTAGAATCTTCCCATTTTCTCATCAGTATTATTTTCCAATGCCTTCATAATCTCTGTGGCTGTCTCCACACCTCTCCCCGAGGTTATAGAAATCTGAACTGGATAATAGTATGTTGTAGTGTATATGTCTTAATGATCTCAGGATAAAGGGAAAGAAATGTCATAGTTTCTACACTGTTTAGTTCTAGTTAAACTTATTGGAATATGGTGTTAATCTTCCCAAATATCTACCATTTACAGAGGAAATTTCTGTCACTTGATGAAAAAGAGTACTCCTTTCTTCCCTCCCTCCCTCCCTCTGGTCACTAATCTCCCAGAAGCTTGATTGACTCCATTGAGGCTGGGTCTGTGAATGTGGATGTGCTGGATGACCAGAGCATACCAGGCATCTTATTTTTATTTACTACTGGGCTAGTTTTTACTACCATACTAATTCTTTACTTCGTTATTAGGGCTATATGCTTTGACTCACTGAATGGTTCTGAGTGTACTGAAATTTCATATGGATCATTGAAATATCCCTGAATTAGCTTGTATATGTACTTCCTAAACCCAAATTGATTTACTTTGTCTTCTTTTAGACTTTACTATGGCATGTGCATGGCTTTCAAGGCTTGAATATTTGCTCACATGACCTGGGCCATATTATGAACTGATGTTCATTCATTCTCTGAAATTGGCAGGTTGCTGAGATGAGTCTTCCAACAAACTGAGATTCTTTCCCCATTATATAATACTTAGTCTTTTTTCCTAGGTTAAAATAGGTCACCACAAAAGGGACCCTAGACCTTGGCACATTTGAATAATTCATTTTTGTATTTAGTAATGTTATACTTTTTATCAGCACCTACATTTTCATCTCTTCTTTTTTGATACTAAACATTTAACCAGGGGGCACCGTAACAATGAGCTAGATGCCAAGGCTTTTTTTTTATTTTGGACACAGGGTCTTGCTGAATTGCTTAGGGCCTTTGTAAGTTGCTGAGAGTGGCCTCAAACTTGTGATCCTCCTGCCTCAGTTTTCTTAGGATCCCTTTATCTAATCCTCCAAGTAGAGCTTTCTCTCTCAAATGCAGGCAATATACTTCACAATCTGCGAAGGGATCAAGAAGGTTTAGATCCATAATTTAACAGCATGGGATGAAGCCACAAAATAGTATTTCATTTATTCCTTTGGGGAAAAAAGCCCACCCACTTCTACTCTAACTGTATGTCACAGACACACAGTCTCATGCTTTCTTTAGTGGCCCTTTATCATCTGTTCCTTCCTACTTGTTCCCAGCCTCATCTCTCTCTCCATCCAAACCTTCTTTCTCAGGGAATTATTATTATTATTACACTGGAAGTTCAAGAAGGTAGGGACAATGTAAGTGCCATTCACACTTCTCTGTGCCAGCTGTGTGCCTGTAAATAAATATTTTTGCTAAATTAGTTAATATTTTTAAAGAATACTTGACCTCCTAGTGTTTCATAGCACAGCAGGGTGACTATAATTAGCAGTAATTTACTAACATATTTCAGTATAGCTGGGAGACTGTGTATCCCACACAAAGAAATGATAAATATTTGAGGTGACAGATATGCTAATTACCTTGACGAATGCATATTGTATATGCTGAAACATGACCCCGTACACCATGAATATGTATAATAATGTGTCAATTTTAAAAAGTAATTTTTTTTAAATGAAGAAGTTCTGCTTTGCTGCCTCCATCTTTGAAGGAACTGTGGTCCTCATTCTGAACACCAGTCATTGGCTGCTCTGTGCAGGCTGTTTCCAGGTCTCCCTATCTTTTTAGTCTTCTCCTCATTGCTGTCTGCTTAGAGGAAAAAAAAAACTAGTTTCAGAAATTAGGAAATGTAGTCAGATTCAATCTTATTTTGAGAGACTAATCACCTTTTATTCCATTCAATTAAGGAAAAATATTTGAACTAGTTCTTTAATATTTAGTTGTTATAATGTATTTCCTGCAAAAGCTTAGCCCTTTTTCCATTTACTAGCAAAGGTAGGCCATGCAAATGACATCTAGAACTAGAGGCAGGAGGGACTTTATCTGCTGTATTGGTAAGCTATTAATTTTTGTCATGGGTAGTTTCCACTTAGTTTATGTCTACTTTCACTGCTACAAAACCAGCTCAAGGAAGATTCATACTTTTTCCCTTAAACCCACTCCACTACTCTGTAGACTTCACTTCCAAACAAACCTGTCTACTCCGTACTTAGTATTATCAACAGTAGTGTTTCCCTTATAGCTAAGCAACATCTACCCCAGGGCCTCCAGCTTTACTGGGCCCATTGTTGCCGAACTTGAACTTATTTCTGCCTCGTAGAGGAAGGTGTTTTTAGAACCAACCATTTTTGCCCATGATCTCATTTCTATGTCCCTTAAAGATACAGGTGACTGAACAATCCTGCTCAGCTGGCTGGAGTGTTTACTTATGTGCGAGACTCCTCTTAAACGTGGGAAAATGTCCAGAGAAGGAAGAGAAGGGGGCAGCAGTATTTTCATTTTGTCTCTTGTTCTAGTCCCACAAGTATTAGAGGTGGGCCTGTATTACTCTAATCCCAATGCCCATTCTTTTGCCCTGCCTCCTAACTGATATTTCTGCCCATCTGCTCGCCAACAACCCTTTCTCCACAGAGCAGCCAAACTGCAAATCACTGATTAGCCTTTGTAACTGAGGTCATGTTTTCCTACTGCTCATTCATCTGGTTCTTTTATTTCCTGTCTATGCTACAGCCATTTCCTTAGCCATGCTATGATCTAAGAATTTGTCTGAAAACTTAGTCTGTACAAAGAAAAAGCCATTGTGACACAATTCATGCATCTAAAAATTGAAAAAAATATTTAGCAAATAGCACTAGTAGACATCAGGCACTATACTGACATCTGACTTTTTTCTCTTACTTCAGAGAAACTGCATTGTTTTATTCTTACATTATAAGCATACAGAAGACATCAATCAACTCCTGAAAGACAAGGTAAATAAGGTGGGGGAATAGAGGAGACCAAATTTACATAGTCCTTTTCCTAAAGAAGCCTTTACCCATCAAGTGAGGCACATCCCCTAAAAGATGAGGCTCAGAATTCTACTAGAAACTTTGTGGGTAAAGAACAGTTTTAGCAAAACAATCACATTTTAAGTGGCAGCAAGGCTATAGTTGTGAAAATGTAACTTTACAAGGAAAAAGGAGGTTAAAAGCAATACATACGAGTACTAAAATTGGAAGTAAGTGGCAAATGAAGCTTCAACATAGACAGAACCTATTACTGATGCTCTCTCTACCTATGACAGTGCTATCGAAAGAGGTCCCCTCACCAGCAAACATCCAATTATGTTGTTGCTTCAATTTTTACCTTTAATTCTCCTAACACTATCTATCTTCAATACAGGAGGCTAAGTTCACAGGTTTTAGGTATTTTTTTTCCAGAGTCAATAAGAGTATCCAATCTGTTATAATCAAGGAGAAAGAGAGATGCAAGGGGGAAAAGAGCAGTGGAAGAAAGGAAAGGAAAGAAGAGAAAGGTGGTTTTTGTAGCAAAAAATGACTATAACAAAAAGTTTAAAAAAATTTAAAGGTTACATGTCAAAAATAATAATATTTATGCAAATAGTCTTTCATTCCTGTGGAATAGTTCAAATGTAAGTCAGTATATTTTTAATGTTAATATTATTCTTAATATTGATTTGAGTAGACGTTCAAAATGAATAGCTCAAAAAATAATCCAGCCAAATCAGCTTTAATATTCAGCGTAAGTTGCCATTACACATGATTTTCTAGGTTCTGGTATTAAACACAGAAATGAGAGCTACTAAGGTAAAGAAAAAATGACAAGCAACACCACTGAGTTCAGCAACAAGACTTCAAATGCCTGTCACATTAGAAACCATGACTAGATGCTGTAAATACAATGAGGAGATAAATGTGATAAGGGCATAGTTTTGACTAAAATAATGTCACTTATTCATTTGATGAATGGCTTTCTGACAACTTGCATTATAAAAATCACAATGAGAATATCTTTACAAAATCCTTCAAGAAACACATTCTACTTAATTTTATGAAAACGTTATACCATAAAACTGGTTTCCAAATTTAATGGTTTGTATCAACAGAATTTTGGCAATGTTTTTTGAATAGGATTGAATGCTGTTGAAGAAGTCAATGATTCTGTTAAGCCCCGTAATTTTAACTAAGCCAGATCAACATGGAACCTTCTTAAGCCAAGATAACAGAAAGTTTTAAAAGGTCTAAATACCTCTTTCCAACCAATATCTCTTTCATAACCAAGAGATCCACAACTCTATCATGCTCTTTTAAAGTGCAGTGCATAGAACTAGGTTAGAAAATACAATTCTCTTGGAAAAAATTGAAAATCACCATTTCATATGCTTGAAAAAAAGCATAAAGTGAGTCAAATCTGAGTACTTTTTTATTGACCCAATGCCTGGATAAGAAAATCACAGCAAGATGAATCATTAGTATCCATGTTTCCTGTCTTGAAGCAGATATAAAATCAGAAACTCTAAGTCACTCAATGGTTTTGTGCCCATGAGGGTTGCTATTTGGGTATGAGTGAAAATGACCACAAAATAAAATGAAATAATTTTTGCCTTGATTTCGATTTTTAAATTGTAATGTTCAATGTACTACTTTCCAAGTTAATTTCAAAATCAGTAAAAAGAACAATTATTTGATATTTTATTTACTTCTGTTTTCATAGTTATGTCATATATAGTTAAATAAGAGCATTCTAATTTGTATAATAAATTTAACCAGACTATGCTTATATTCTATAATTTACTAGCTATTTAAAAATTGCTAGTAAATTATAGAATATAATTATAGAATATAATCCCAATTGCTTTAGAAAAAATTATAGAGAAGTTAAAGAAGTAGAACAAAATTTTAAAACTGGATATAGGAAAATTTTAGTAACTAAAAAATTAGGAATGAAAAAGAGTTTAAGTGAAAGAAAATAAAAATAATTCATAAAGCAAAATAAACATTAAAATAAAAAAATAGTTGAAGTCAGTAAGGTATCTCAAAGTCCAAAAGACAGACAAAATTATAATGGGGTGGGGAAAACTGAAGTACATATAGCTTACACTTCATCCTCAAAACAGCCCTGTCTGGAAGGCTTAAGGAAACTAGGTCACAGACAAGACAAGTCACTTCTCTAAAGTCCAACAGTGAAGAGATGTGGGAGCTAGGCTTTGAATGCAAAATGTCTGATCACTGAGTCTGTGCTAGGAACTATGGCACTGGACTGCAAGTGGTTTTTATATCTGATAAACAGAGGAAATTCATAAATTCAGATGCCAACAGAGAAAAGGGAAAATGAAAAATAAAAGAGAAATAAACAATGAATTGAAATACGTAATTTATAGAATTAAACGAAAAATGGTCAATTAGTATATGAAAAGATGTTAAATCTCACTAGTAGACATAAACATCATTTTTCCTTTTTTATCAGAGTTGTATGTTAAAATGTATAGTAAAATTTAAGGTTTTTGAGTCAGTTATACAGTAGTTTTTCAAATTTTTTTATCACTTGAGATTTGAAAATAAAGAAATTAAGTTAACCTGTGAGGGTTAGGAGTAATGACATGGCCAACTCAAAACCCTGAATATAACATTGGACTCTCCCAAGAATTAATCCACTAATAACCAGCTTTTGATGGAAGCCTTATCAATAACATAAATAATCAATTAATATATATGTATGTTATATATATTATATATGATTAAAAAAGTGAAAATTGTAAGAGGTAACCTTTTACTGGGATAGGCAATTACTGGAGATAAGAGCTGTTCATGCAAAGCTGATCAGTTTCATAGGGTGTTGTAGTCATTCAACCCTTACACTCACCACAATAGCAACAGGAAGTAGTTATGAATTTAGTATAATAGGACAGTATGTACTATAGCAAATTTCATGCACTTATGATTGAACACTTCATATTTATATTTGATTACTTTCTCTTGATTGGCACCATGTATAGGCTATGTAAGTTTTGAGAAATTCTAACTTTTTATAATAGATTTGTGCATAATTTATGGTATTGGATGATAGAACCATTATGTACATTTTTGGAGTGTCTTTTAACTTTTTGAATATTTCTAGACTATTTATATTATATATTATCTGAATATATATATGTATTAATAGATAAAATTCTATATATTTATATATATTTATTAATAGAGAAATAATATCTGAATTTTTAAGAAAATTCTGTATACCTAACATAAACAAGCAAACAAACAACATGTAAGTGGATCCACAAAGTTTAAATATATGATGTTCAAGGGTCATCTGCATGTTCATCAGGATCCCAATTGCTTTGGGTAATAGCAGAAGCTAAATTTTCTTAATCAGTTCCTGATTCCTGTATTCCTCCCCTATAGTGATTAAATTCAGGTTAGATGGAAAAGAGACTGAAGATGACAGAATACAAGAGGTGCTTTCCTGGCTGCTTCATGGTATGAGACCAAGAAAACAGACAGGCAGGTTAAATGTGGGTGGGAAAAAAAAGGGGATTTTCATGGGAATTAATACTGGACATTCAAAGCAGATTGAAGGCTCAGGATGTTGAATATAATGAAATAATGAAGAAATCCCCTTTGCCACTGCCACCACTACCAGCACCAGCTGGAGTGGTTCCTATATAAGTAAAATGGGGGGATAAAGAAATTAAAGGAAGTCACATTTTTAGGTGGCTATGATTGCTGAGAGCCACAGCCGAGTGGGAATGGCCCCTGGCATTTTGCCAATAGTATTGGTTGAGAGGCAAGCCATTAAGATGATGC